CTCTGGCTGCCCTTAGTATCTTCTCCTTTATTTCAACCTTATTGAATCTGACGATTATGTGCCTTGGAGTTGCTCTTCTTGCGGAATATCTTTGTGGTGTTCTCTGTATTTCCTGTATTTGAGTGTTGGCCTGTCTTGCTAGGTGGGGGAAATTTTCCTGGATGATGTCCTGAAGAGTATTTTCCAGCTTGGATTCATTCTCTTTGTCCCCTTCTGGTACACCTATGAAACGTAGGTTAGGTCTTTTCACACAGTCCCACATTTCTTGGAGACTTTGTTCATTCCTTTTTGCGCTTTTTTCTCTGATCTTGATTTCTCGTTTTATTTCATTGAGTTGGTCTTCGACTTCAGATATTCTTTCTTCTGCTTGGTCAATTCGGCTATTGAAACTTGTGCATGCGTTGCGCAGTTCTCGTGTTTTTCAGCTCCTTTAATTCATTCATATTCCTCTCTAAGTTATCCATTCTTGTTATCATTTCCTCAAATCTTTTTTCATATCTTTTTTCAAGTTTCTTAGTTTCTTTGCATTGATTTAATACATGTTCTTTTAGCTCACAAAATTTCTCATTTTCCACCTTCTGAAGTCTAATTTTGTCATTTCATCACAGTCATTCTCCGTCCAGCTTTGTTCCCTTGCTGGTGAGTTTTGGTCCTTTGTAGGAGGTGAGGTGTTCTGGTTTTGGGTGTTTTCTTCCTTTTTTCGCTGGTTTCTTCCCATCTTTGTGGATTTATCCGCTTGTCGTCTGCGTAGTTGCTGACTTTTCGATTGGGTCTCTGAGTGGACACCCAGATTGTTGATGATGAAGTATTTCTGTTACTTGGTTTTCCTTCTACCAGTCTAGCCCCTTAGCTGTCCGACTGCTGAGGTCCACTCCAGGCCCTGCTTGTCTGGGGTGCACCTCTAGCAGCTGTGGCACAGTGAGGGATGCTACTCGTTTCTTTTTCTGCTATCTTTGTTTCAGGATGATGCCTGCCATATGTCAGTGTTTTGGATATAGTGGGGTCAGCGAGCTGCTTGAGGAGACAGTCTGTACTTTATAGGAGCTCAATTGCTTAGCTGTGTGCTCTGTTGTTCATTCAGGGCTGTTAGGCTGCTATGTTTGATTCTGCTGCAACAGAGCTCATTAATAAACCCCTTTTTTTCTCAAATGCTCTGTGTTCGGGGTTTTGGGCTTGATTTTTGGATGTCCGTTGAGGTGTCCTGCCCAGCTAGGATGCAGACTAGCCACTGTTTGCCTGCCGAGGCTCCGCCCTGCTGTTGTGTGGTTTGCCCTGTTGCTGCAGGCTCTGCTGTTCTGCTGTGGTCTCCACCACGCCCTGCGGCGGAGTCTCTCTGTTGTAGCGGGTTGCCTCAGCAATGGCAGGCTGTGTCAGCAGTGGGCGTGTATCTTAGTAGGGACGGGTTACCTTGGCAACGGCTGGCTGCGTCAGCAGTGTGCGTGTATCTCAGTTGGGGCAGGTTGCCTCGGTAATGGTGGACGCCCCTCCCCCACAGAGCATCTCGGACCATCTTCAAGGGGAGCATTTGAAATCACGGTTTTGTTCGTCCCACTGGGCTAGCCGAAACGTTCTGTCCCTGCAATCCCCTGGGCTGGCCCACTGTCCAAGTCTCGTTCAGTCTCATGTCCAGCCCTCTCAAGTCTCAGGTTGCTGGTTCAACAGGGCACCCGGACAAGTGCGCCCTGTGGGGAGCGCTGGGTAGGGCCGGCCGCCGCCACCCCGGCTGCCAGCTTCGCCAGGCAGAAGTACTGCCTGGCGTCCCGCGTCTCCTTTATACTTGGGAATTTCCCCGTTCTGTGGGCAACAAAGATCAGTCTGGAAATGCAGCTCTGACTCACCTCTCTGCGGATTCAAGGAGAGCTCCAATCCTGGGTTGTTCTCACACCGCCATCTTGAGTCCTCCCCCCGAGGTGGCCATATTTTTTAACCATCCCATAACAAACAGAGATCCTGGGCCATATTGGCTAATTGCTTGTTTAAATTCTTTTAAAAGTTTACATGGAAAAGGATCAAATGTTCCCTGAAACTGTCCTTGTTGATTTGGGGGCTGTGTTGTAACAGGAAACTGCCAAGCCTCTAAATCTCCATCCATGTTGGCCTGTCGTACTCCAGCCTCTATAGACCCAATCCACAGGGGGGGGGATCTAACCATGTCATAAGTCACAACGAAGGAGGGAAAGGAATATATGCCCAATGGGTAGTTTCCCAATTACTGCTGTGGAGGGCATAAATACTACCACCGGAGCAGCAAGTGTCACTTTAGAAACAGCCTCTGATTCCTCTAACAGAGGATGTCAGGTGGATCTAGCCACTCTTTGATTAAACACTGAGGAGGAGCTGACAGACTTCTTCTTTTTCCTCATTTTTTTTCTTTTTTCTTTTTTACCTGGGTTATCTTTAATTTCCTCATCCCAATTATATTCTCCTTCTTCCACTGAATCTTCCTCCTCGTCATCAGTTTGAAATGGCTCTAATTCTGAATGCACCATTGCCCAAACTGACCATACTGGAATAGGAATATCCTCAGCTCCTCCTTTACATGCCTTTTTTAGAGTAGTACCCACTTTTTCCCATTCCTCTATATTCAAAGTTCCCTGCTTAGGAAACCAGGGGCAATATCTTTCAACTGCATTAAAAAGCTGTGTTAAGCAGCTACTACTAACTTTAACTCCCCCTCTTCTAAGCAAATGATAAAGCAAGCTAAGGTCAGCTTTGCGTTTGCTTGAACCTTGTCCCATTGTTACCCTGATGCTTCCAAGCTCCGCCTAATTTACCTGGGAGGTTTTTTCAAGCATTCTCAGGTGTCCTTCAGCTTAGATTAGCTTCTCTTTTCTCCATCGCTCAGGCAACCTTTCATCCTGGGTTTGATTTCCACGTTTGGGCACCACTTACTGAGACCAGCATGGTCATGGGCCCAACCCAAGCAGCACTGAAAGAATTAAGAGTCACACACAAGTTTATAGTGCAAAGTGGGCTCAGGGGCTGACAGCATTCCCAGCTGAGAGCCCAGAGCAGACTCTAACACACATATTTACTCACTTGTGAATTTATTCAAGTGTGAACACTGATTATTTTTAACAAGCAGGTATTCTATGTATTTTCATAGTATAAAGACAAATTAGGCAGGCAGCTAGTGCCTGTTCACTACTATGTAAAAACAAACTAGAAAGCATTCTTTGCCAGGGAGCAACGGGGGCAGGGTTATGTATCCTGTGTTTTAAGAACTAGTTTAACTATTGCATGATATCTATATATTGTTTACTTATTCTAGAAGGCCCTGAGCAGTTTTCCACCTGGGGACAGCTCAGTGTTCCTTGCCATCGTTTCTCAGTAAACAATATAATTAATCACACACATCAAGTTTTGTTCTCATCAATCATGTGACTCAGCCATTCTTTCTCCTAGCTATACACCCAAGAAAACTAAAAATGTCCGTCCACTCAAACACGTGGATGTGAATGTTCACAGCAGTGTCATGGACACAGAGGGGCCACTATGGTTCGAGAGCAGAACAGGTGATGTTACACTAATGGGACCAGAACAGCAGGTGCCAACCAGGAGGGCCTTGGGCAGCAGGGTACCTGGACACCCTGTGACTCAGGACTTGCACCTCCAGGTTTGGATGCCCGAGACAGACTCAGCCCAGGCAAAAGCCCTCCTCTTGGAAGTTCTCTTTATCCCAAGCTTCCCTGTCCCTGGAGTTAGGCATCCTCCAGGCTCTTGGTGGAAGGACAGATGAGCCAGGTTTAAGACAACGCATCTAGAACAGTGAGTCCCACTTTGTGTCGGGCACTTCCTCCACAGCATCCCCCTTAATCCTGCTGCTCTCATGAAGGACAATTAACCCCATTAAAAAAATCGAAGCAGAATTTGTATATCATCAAATTTGTCATTTTGATGTGTACGCCAGTGGTTTTTAGCACATCATAAGGTTATGCAGCCACAGCCACTATCTAATTTGAGAACTTTTTTGTGGGGGGGGACAGAGTCTCACTCTGTTGCCCAGGCTGGAGTGCAGTGGTGTGATCTTGGCTAACTGTAACCTCCGCCTCCTGGGTTCAAGAGATTCTCCTACCCCAGTCTCCTAAGTAGCTGGGACTACAGGTGCCTGCCACCATGCTTGGCTAATCTGTATTATTTTTAGTAGAGACAGGGTTTCACTGTGTTAGCCGGAATGGTCTCAATCTCCTGACCTTGTGATCTGCCCGCCTCAGCCTCCCAAAGTGCTAGGATTACAGGCATGAGCCACCGTGCCCAGCCCAAGACCATTTTTATTACCAAACAGAAACCCTGTCTCATCAGCAGTCCACCAAGAGTGGCTGGAAAATGCTCAGGAAAGAAAATGGATAGTTGCATCTACTCTGACTCTGTAGCCATTTTTTCTTGTTGTTATTCCCTAAACAACACAGTATAGACCCATTTACATGGCATCTATAATGTATTTGGTATTGTAAGTAATCTAGAGATGAATCTAATTGTACAGGAGGATGTGCATAGGTTATATGCAAATTAGAGGCCATCTTATATCAGGTACTTGGGCATCTGTGGATTCTGGTATCTGTGGGAGTTCCTAGAACCAAACCCCATGGATACTATACCAAGGGATGACTATAAACCCTCACCCAGGAAGGCTTCTCCCTGGAGAAAGGGCCCAGTTCAGGATGCACAGGGACATGCTCCCTGGAGTGCCATCCATTCATCTGTTCACCCATCACCCCATCTCCGGTGCTGTCCCAGTTACAGCCTTAGCAAGTGGAGACAAGAAGGCCCAGATGACGTTTCCAGTTTCAAGGTCTTGAGAAGCTGCTGCCAGGATGGAGGAGTGGATCAACTTCCTCCAGGATCCAGAGAGCACCCCAGTAGCCTCAGGGTTGGGAGAGGAGGCCAGCCTCTCTGGGAGCCAGGCCAGCAGCAGGGTGGGTCAGACACATGTGGATTGTGGGAGCCTAATGAGGGGAAGAGGAGAAGGCACTGCAGAGGGATCTCCTGCTGTCTTGCAGCTCTCCAAGGGCAGAAGCTGAGTGCAGATCAGCTGGCCCTGGTCTACAGCACACTGGGGCTCTGCCTGTGCGCCATTATCTGCTGCTTCCTGGTGGCGGTGGCCTGCTTTCTCAAGAAGAAGGGGGATCCCTGCTCCTGCCAGCCCCGCACAAGGCCCTGTCATAGTCCGGCCAAGTCTTCCCAGGGTGAGTGCATGGAACTGGAATGCTCGCCCTTCTCACTGCTTGGGTGATGAGCCTTGGGCCACCCCTCAGTCCTATCACTGTCCCTGCTTCTAAGCAGAGAGGCCCGGGGCTCATCCCGGTTACCTGCTGTAGCTTGATAAGATCAGGTTAAGACATCGTGGAAGGCAGATACCTGGGTGGGTGGCACCCAGGAAGGGTGGGTGTGGGGTGCCAGCCTTCAGGCTTGCCTGGGCCTCGGGTCCTCAGGATGCAGGGCCATCAGGGCTAAGCACAGGAGGAGCATCCCCTTGGTGGGCATGGCAGACTTGGGGCTGGGCAGAAGTGAGAGCCAAGATTTGCCTGCCCACCCCTGCCCCAGCACAGGTTCTGGCCAGCAACTGGGGGACACTGACACTGGCCTAGGGGTGTCCTAGGCTGGTGGGTGATTGCCCTCAGTTCCTGGGCCAGGGAGAGTGTGGCTGCCCACACCGTCACCCCTACCCCGGTGCAGGGCCAGACCTGGCCCACACCCTCCATTCTCGCCTCTGCAGATCACGCAAAGGAAGCCAGAAGCACCATGGGCACATCCCCCGGGCCAGTGGAGACTTGCAGCTTCTGCTTCCCCGAGTGCAGGATGCCCACCCAGGAGAGCACGGTCATGCCTGAGACCCCTGACCCCACTTGCACTGGAGGCTGGGGATGCCACACCAGGACCACAGTTCTGCAGCCCTGCCCGTGTATCCCAGACAGCCGCCTTGGCATAGTGTGTGTGCCTGCCCAGGAGGGGGGCCCGGGTGCATAAATGGGGGGCATAAAGGGAAAGGATGAGGGAGACAGATGGAGGGAGGGGGAGAGAGAAAGAGAGGTGAGGAGAGGCGAGAGAGCTAGGGAGAGAGATTTGGGGAGAGAGAGGCAGAGGAGGCAGAGAGAGAGAGACAGAGAGAGAGAGAGAGGCAGAGAGGGAAAGAGACAGAGAGGCAGAGAGGGAGAGAAAGATAGAGCAGGAGGTCTGGGCGCTCTGGGCCCCAGTTTCCAGTGCAGCTGTAAGTCGCCATCACCTGACCACACGTGATAAAGTCCTGGTGCTGCTGCTCACTGCCCCCAAGAGCCCCTCCTCCTGGAGAATAAAACCTGTGACAGCTGCCTTTCCTCACTGGGTTTTGGTTGTGTCTAATGAATGGAGACATTCTGCCTATCACCTTCCTGAGCTCAAGTCTCCACCAAACACTGCGCCCTCAGTTTGGGAGGACCTGTGGTGCCCCCATCTCACCAGGCTCCTGAGGAAGCTTGTGACTTTGGGTTAGGCCCTAAGCAGCCAAGTACCCACTGGGGCTCTGCCTCTCTCTTTCTCTAAGAGGGAGAAAGAGACCAAAGAATGGTCTGCAGAGAGGGCACCTGTGCAAACACCAAGGAACCAGAGGCTTCGGCTGTCTTCATTTCCTCATGGACACACATTCCCTTCTGTGCCTCCTTAGTGAAAGCATGAAGCATACCGTGTGTGTATGTGCAGGTGTGTGCATGCATTTGTGTGTGTGTGTGTGTGCATGTGTGTGTCTGTGCATGTATATATGTAAGTGTGTGTGTTGTAGGGGTGTGCAGTGGACAGGAAGAGGGCAGCTCTAGCTCAAAGCTGCAAAAAAGATTGAAATTCCCTGGACCACAGCAAGAGAATGTTTTCATTTGCATCTACTTTTTATTAGCTGTATCTTGAGTAGCATGTTAACCTTAAGTTCTTTAACTATTCTTAGAAGCATTTTCACAGTAAGATAAATCCATAATAATGTACAATGAAATTATGCACCCTGCACCCCCCAAAATTACCTTGCATACCTACACCCACCAAACAATCCCACATCGCACTTCAGGAGGTGTAGACAGGAAGCCAGGGGCTCCATCACTCATTCTGTCTTTTCACCATCCGTGGGCTACCAGGCTGTGTTGGTCCACTGGGGCTGCCTTAAAGTATCACAGACTGGGCAGCTTCAGCAACAGAAACTCCTGGAGGCTGTAAGTTCAAGATCAAGGTGTTAGCAGGAAAGGTCCCACTCCAGGGCAGTGCAGGAAGGCTCTGTTCCAGGCCTCTCTCTGGGCTTGCAGGTGGCCTTCCTGTGTATCTTCTCTCTGTCCAAATTTCCCCTTTACATAAGGACACCAGTCATATTGAATTGGACACCCCCTACTGACCTTGTTTTTCATTGTTAATTTATTTCAAGATCACATTCTCAAGCACTGGGGCTTAGGACATCAACACAGGAATTTTAGGGTACAAACTCAACCCATCACACAGGCCTTCCCCGAGGCCACCTCTGAGTCATTGTTGTCTACAGGCAAGTTGGCATCTAAAGAGTGTCTGTCCAAGACATGCATCTGGCCCCTGGTCCAGCCAGTCCACATGGCCAATGATGAGACCAGGTGGCATTGTTTCCTCACCGCCATGCCTCACGCACACAGTTGCCTTTTTATAACAACGTGGACACAAACCCTGGCATTGGTGCAGACACTTGCTGGCTGTGGGCAAAGCAGCCCTATGTCAGTGTGCTGCAAAGATGTGGCTCAGAAGGTGCAGATTTCTATTCCTTCTGATCTGTGGTTTCAAGATCTGCTTGTCTGAACCGAAGGGGCTCTGTAGGGTACCTCTGGAATAGCCGGTGTGTTAAGGGTGCTAAAAGCAGGGTGCCCAGGCTCCACTGATCTGGAACAGGGGCTGGAGTGCCCGGGCCCGCATCTCTGACAAATACCACTGAAATGTGTTTTCACAGGTGCTGTTTTCTGTTTTCCATGTTCATAACAGGGGAGGGGAAAGCATAGCTACGGACATGTAGAACACTGCGACTTTTTGGAAGGCAGTTTCTTGTTTTTTAGATGGAATTAGGCCTTGGCTTCCCTCCCAGTCCCAGCCCCCCTTCTGGCTGCGAATGTCCCTGGGTCAACACCAGTGGAGATTGCTTTGTGTATTTTGTAGGTTATCTGTTTTGATAACCCCAGCTTCAACCACACAAATAATCTTGTGGTGTTTGTCAGTTTTTAAAATTGATCTTTTGTACTTTTTTTCCTAGAGAGGGATCCTTTGGTAGAAAGAAAATTTGAAACTCTAAATGCTGTCCACTTTATCCATGTACCATTGGTCCTACCCTCAAAATATATCCTGATTCCAGCCACTTGTCATAACCTCTTTAATCTGAGTTCCCATCATTTCTCACCTGGGTTACTGAACCAGCCTCCCCACTGGCCTCCCCGCTGCCACCTGGCCCCCTCCCCATGGCTCAGCAAGATTTTTCTGCAAAGAACCTGGTAGTAAGCATCTTGGGTTTGGTGGACCCTGCAGTCTTTGTTGCACTTACTCGACAAACCCTCAGCTCTGCCGCCGCAGCCCCAAGGCAGCCACAGACGAGAAATGAACACAGGGGAGGAACTATGGCTCCAATAAACCTTTACTCACCACAAGGAGGGGGCTGCCTCTGGATTGTGGGCTATAGTTTCCCATCCCCTGCCTGACTTCATGGCAACACTGACCTTAGTATCTATGCTTCTTAAAAACACGTGTAAGCCAAGTGCAGTGGCTTATGCCTGTAATCCTAACACTAAGAGGCTGAGGCTGGAGGATTGCTTGGGGCCAGGAGGTCCAGACCAGCCTGGACCTCCTGGCCTAGCAAGATCCCTTGTCTACAAGAAACCATTTCAAAAGCAACCAGGCATGGGGGCCCACACATGTAGTCCCAGCTACTCAGGAGGCTGAAGTGGGAGAATTGCTTGAGCCTGGGAAGTCAGGGCTACAGTGAGCTGTGATTAGGCCACTGTACTTCAGCCCCGGTGACAGAGTAAGACCCTGTCTCTTTCTCTGCTCCTGTGTGTATGTGTGTGTGTGTGCACATGTGTGGGGGGGTTGTCTACAAGATATACCTTTAATTGATCACAGCCAACCCTCAAATAACATGCATAGTGTAGGAAACTTACAATGCTACACTCCCAACTCTTCCCCCTTGGATCCTGTGACCATCTTCCTCTTCTCATTGACTCCGCATGAAGGGGATTCCTGGTGGGGTAGGGTGGCTGGTGAGAAGTGAGGTACCAACAAACTAGCAAAGGGTCTTCTGGCTGTCTAGGGACAGCCCTTGTGTGGTCCCCCATCCAGTCTCTAGAGTTCTAGGCTGGTCACCCTGGGGCCTCTGTGCTGTGTCTCTGGATCCAGCCTCCTTGGGAAGGACCCTGGGAGACCCAGCACAGTGGGGTGCCTGGCCTGACAAATGTCCTCCTGTTCCTCTGGCTGTGTGGCTCAGGAATAGGCCCAGACAGTGTGTCCAGGTGTGCCAGGCCACATCACTGCCCCTTTTGTGATGGGTCCAGAGGAACTTGTGGGATGAGCGTGAAGCTAGGAACCAGAGCCTGGGACCAACTGCCTCTCCCTGTGTCCTGGAGTGGGGGTCCATTCCTGAGAAGACTCTCAAATGCCCGTGGGTCCTGATGAGGGAGGGAAGGGTCTGTGGACTGAGGGGGCCATTGGTAGGGGACTTTGAGCACCATGCCTCAGGGGTCTGATCAGTGGGGGTCTGGTCCACAAAGGGTTGAACTCTGGGGCTCAGACACAGCAAATCTGGTCAGTGGAGGCCTGGCTAGAGGGGCCTGGCCAGCTGGCCACTAGGTGACCTTAGACAGGGGTTTGTCCTTGGAGCCTCCTTTCCTCCGTCCATAGCAGGGAGGAGTCGTGGCACCCCAGAGGGTTACTGGGAGGAGGAGTGAGGATGTGTATGGGATCTGGCTCTGCTGCACAGACCTACCCTGTTACACCCTAGCTGAGTCCCTGCTAAGGAAGGGCACCGAGGCCATCTGCCCTCAACCCTCAACCTTCGACTATCAGCTTCTCATCTCCCTGTCTGCATCCCCAGGACTGGCCCAGATGGGGAGATCTGAGATTGGGGAGCACACACAGATGTGCTGATGCTGGCTATGGGTCCCAGGAGTGGAGACAGTGACAAGGACCTGGGTGCACATGTGAGTGGGGCAGCCAGGCCTGGCCAGAGCAGTGACACATGCATGTACACATCAGGGCACTCTCATAGATGCGCACAGTCACCTGCACAAACACACCGAATACATGCATGTTGACACTTCAGGGGCTGGAGGGTGCTGACTCTGGGCCCTGCTGACCTAGGCAGGGGCCCACTGTAACGGGTGCCATGACCCACAGTGTCACTGGTGCTGGGTACCTACCTGCTTGCCCTCTCTGTCTGGAGCTCTTGGAGACAAGACACACAGCGGTGTGTGGTTCTGCACAGAGGGGGTTTTTCCTAAGTGAGAGGCACAGCTGGATCAGCAGACTCAGATGAGTGTGACCTGCTCTGTTCCCTCCCTGCTGACCTGGGACAGTCGTGACCTGGTGGGCAATGCTGGCCTCTAGGCAGGAGCTGAGGAGAGTCATCCCTGAGCACTCACCGGGTGCCCATTCTGCACTAACTGTGTGGACAGTTTTTCCTTCATCCTCACAGCAACTTGGTGGGGTGGGTGCTGCCCACAAATGTACCCATTTGACAAATGAGCTGTCTAGAGTCAGAGAAGCAGATCCTGGCCCGGGGACCCAGATGTGACCCTGGGATGTGCTCTCAGGCCTGCCATGTGCTGTGCTGGGCTCAAGCCCTGAACTTTGTGGCCTCCCTGTCCTGGATTTCAAATCTTCCTGGAGTTCTGGATTTCAGTGGGGCAGAGCCTGGTCCTGGAAGAGCCACTAAAATAGAGCCCCTATGGGTGGTGGGGAGGTGGGGGTTCTCAGTCCAATTTTGTGCCTTAAGCTGGAAGGAGGTCTCACCAACTCAGACTTCAGGTGCAGTCACTGATGGTTGCTGTGGGACCCACTGGACACATGGGGTCCTTCGTCTAGGAGTGGGGTAGGGAGCCCTTTGCCCTCAGTCAGTTGTGGAAAATGAAGAAGCTCTGGAGGGCTGCCTGGAGGGTGACGACTGTCCCTCACGGTCAAAACAGCTTGGGGACTGGGACCTTCCCCGAGCATCCTTTTCTCCGTCTGATCCTCTGGATGCCTTGTCCTTCTTTTGCCCCAAGTATTCCTGGGAGGGATGGCCCCCCTGGGTGTTCTCTGGGACCAAGGCCCCAGAGTTCTCTTGTTGTTTCTTGGTGATCCGGGAAAATGAAGCCCCCTCCTGT